ATTTGATGAGTTCTAATTAAATAGAAATTGTTATAATTAGATGTTTCAAAAGTAGTATATTAAGTTCTAACATTACTTCTTAATCTTCTTATAACTAAGACATTATATGGACACTTTTTTACAGAGAATTTGATGATGTAGTCAAAAAAAATTTCGGTTTTAGATTTGTAGATATTATGACAATTTTCGTTTTTTTTAATGGAAACAATCACTGATTATTCGTTTATTAAATTCGTTATTTTTTTCTGATTACAAAAATATGGGGTTAGATAGGTCTATTTCTTATTGTTTTAGAATAAAGCTAAAAATAAACTTTTTTTTAGTGTCGTCAAAGAAATTAAATTTACAGTTTCCTGTAAATTACGGCACTATAACTAAAAATAATTTTACTAAAAATTTATATAAAATTTACGTTATTTTCTAATATGTAACTTTTCGTAATTCATCTTAAAAAACAGGATTTTTAAAGTGACACTTCAGAAAATTTTTGAATACAAACAAATGTTGCTATGTTTATTTGAATTAAAAAATATAAAGTCCCTAGATTTAGAAAGTACCTCGATTCATGAAGCCTGTTTTCGAGCCAAAATGGCGGTTTGACAGGTTGTCACTGCATCTCACCACTTATTTACAAAAATATTGCCGTCTTGTTGCCTTTGGAGTTGCAAAAATGGCAGTAACAAGGACTTTCGACTCTTCAGAGTACCACGAGAAAAAAAGAAAGGAAATTTGGCGTAATGTTATCAATAGAATAACATAGTTTTAAATTTCCCGCTTGATTTTCGAGCCAAAATGGCGTCAAACCGCGGTACTTTGTAAATCTAGAGACTTTAAAAAAATATATATATGAGCGCCATCTATCAATAATTTATTAAGTCATTTAATAATAATATTAAATATTAATAAAAAATGTGAAATGATGCAATCTATTCCAAGTTTTGTGTAAAACAAATAATAAATTAAATAGTTCAACAAATGTATTTGTTTCAAATATCAGAAATAGGTTTTTTTTTAATTTTTAGTTATAATTTACAGGAATCTGTAAATTTAATTTCTTTGAAGACACTAAAAAAAGTTTATTTTTAGCTTTATCCTATACTCTGTTTTTAAACCAGAGGAGTATTTTAAATTTGTCACCAGATTGACCTTGCACGTGATTGGTTGAATGGGACGAAGGTTCACACACAAACAATTTTGAATTTGAAGGTTAGGTTATTGACAATTCGACAGTTTCGTGTCATTTTGTCATTCAGTTTCGTGTCATTCAATTTTGTGTTCTTAAACCCTTCTTTATTATATTTTGAAATAAATACACTCATAACTTCAATGTTAATTTGTATGTTTAGTGTTGAGGATAACAAACGAAAATAAATACAATAATAAGTAAATAAATAAATAATTATTATTAATTTAAATTTACCGCCAAAATATCTATATAGTGATATTTTCTGATTTTTCCTAGTGTAAATCTGTCTTTCACGTTTACTCCTCCTGGTGTAAAAACAGAGTATAAAACAACAAGAAATAGACCTGTCAAACCCTATATTTTTGTATTCAGAAAAAAAACGAATTTAATAAGCGAATAATCAGTGGTTGTTTCCATTTAAAAAAACCAAAATTGACATGATATCTCAAAATCTAAAACCAAAAAAGTATACATATAACGTCTTAGTCATAATACTCCACCTATAATAATAACATAATAACCAAGATAAATGCACTTGTTGGTTTTACGATACTTTCAATTTCAGCCTCTAGGGGAAAAACAAAAGACGGTAGCGTTTTGAGGTTTTCGGCATTAGCAGTTTCTCGGAAAACGAGATCATGACATGTAAGCTATTTTTTTTCTAACTCTTGTAGTTTCCAAGTTAGCCTATTCGGACATCGAATTTGAACCACCTGTACTCCATTTCACATGTTATAAATATACAGTGCCTGCCAAAATGTCAGCAATACCCGTTTTATTTCTGTTCCATTGCATCAACGTTTCTGACATTTAGCTTATATAGGAAGTTCATGCCGATCATTCGATCTAAAGTATTTTCAAGATGGTGGCCACTTCCGGTCCTCCGGAAGTAGACCTCAACTTCGTTATTTTAACCCTTTGTGTCCCGACGGTACTTTAAAGTATCGGTAGTTTTAAACACTCATTTTAAACTGTAAAATTTTTAAATTAGCATCTTTTTTGACACTTTTAGGTTATACGAAAATGTAAGTTTTATTTCAACATTTATTTTCTCTATATTTTTCCAATCGAACCCTACAATTATTATACATCATTTTAAAGAGAAAGCTTTGAGCTTTAATTTAGAATAAGTCTCATTCCTTAATTTCAATAAATACGGCTTCCAGGAATTTTTAAATTAGCATCTTTTTTGACACTTTTAGGTTATACGAAAATGTAAGTTTTATTTCAACATTTTTTTTCTCAATATTTTTCCAATCCAACCCAACAATTATTATACATCATTTTAAAGAGAAAGCTTTGAGCTTTAATTTAGAATAAATTTCATTCCTTAATTTCAATTAATACGGCTTCCAGGAATCTTTAAATTAGCATCTTTTTTAACACTTTTAGGTTATACGAAAATGTTAGTTTTAACTCAATACTCTTTTTCTCAATATTTTTCTAATTTAACCCAACGATTATTATACATCGATTTAAACAGAAAGCTTTAAGCTTCAATTTAAAATAAGTTTCATTTCTTAATTGCAATAGACACGGCTTCCAGAAATTTTTGAATTATGCGAAAATAGGGAGATTGCATATTTTGCTAAAATTGATTCCAAAGGCCTTTACTGAGTGTATTTTGATAGCGTTTTAATTCTGTCACAAAGTTTCAAAATTTTTTACTTCTTGGGACACAAAGGGTTAAATGGAATGCTATAGTTTTTATTGCACCTTTTAATTGTATGCGAAAAAATATGTAGACTTTGATAAAAGGTACTGATACCTAGCATTTTTCGTTTTCGAGTTATTTTGATTTCAAGTTTTTGTTTGGTAAATTTCACCATGCTTTTAAATCCCCATATCTCAACGAATATTTATTCAAGAAAGCTCTAACTTGGTAAGATTACTCTTCAGATAATATCAAATAGATTGTCATTTATTGTATCAGAGTGTCTTATACAGGGTGAATTGTAAATTATATGCCTCGGCCGCAAGCGACCTCGGCTTCAGTCTCTGTAATATTGTAATAAAAGAGATAATATTTCATTAATATAGTAAATTCTGTCTCTATAACGTTGTAGTGAAAGATGTAACATCTCTTTAATGGTGTAAATTGTATGCCTTGGCCGCAAGCGACCTCGGCTTCTGTCTCTATACCATTATAATAAAAGAGATAATATCTCTTTAATAGAGTAAATTGTATGCCTCGGCCGCAAGCGACCTCGGCTTCAGTCTCTATAACATTGTAATAAAAGAGATAATATCTCTTGAGTAAATTGTATGCCTCGGCCGCAAGCGACCTCGGCTTCAGTCTCTATAACATTGTAATAAAAGAGATAATATCTCTTTAATAGAGTAAATTATATGCCTCGGCCGCAAGCGACCTCGGCTTCTGTCTCTGTAACATTGTAATAAAAGAGATAATATCTCATTAATGTAGTACATTCTGTGCCTCGGCAGCAAGCGACCTCGGCTTCAGTCTCTATAACATTGTAACAAAAGAGATAATATCTCTTTGATAGAGTATATTGTATGCCTCGGCCGCAAGCGACCTCGGCTTCTGTCTCTATACCATTATAATAAAAGAGATAATATCTCTTTAATAGAGTAAATTGTATGCCTCGGCCGCAAGCGACCTCGGCTTCAGTCTCTATAACATTGTAATAAAAGAGATAATATCTCTTTAATAGAGTAAATTATTTGCCTCGGCCGCAAGCGACCTCGGCTTCTGTCTCTGTAACATTGTAATAAAAGAGATAATATCTCATTAATGTAGTACATTCTGTGCCTCGGCCGCAAGCGACCTCGGCTTCCGTCTCTATAACATTGTAGTGAAAGATGTAACATCTCTTTAATGGTGTAAATTGTATGCCTCGGCCGCAAGCGACCTCGGCTTCTGTCTCTGTAACATTGTAATAAAAGAGGTAATATCTCTTTAATGGAGTAAATTGTATAAAAATTATTTTCACCCACCATATCCAATACGTAGCAAATAATTAATGCATCAAAAAATAATTTCTACTTTTGAAACATNAATAGAGTAAATTGTATGCCTCGGCCGCAAGCGACCTCGGCTTCAGTCTCTATAACATTGTAATAAAAGAGATAATATCTCTTTAATAGAGTAAATTATTTGCCTCGGCCGCAAGCGACCTCGGCTTCTGTCTCTGTAACATTGTAATAAAAGAGATAATATCTCATTAATGTAGTACATTCTGTGCCTCGGCCGCAAGCGACCTCGGCTTCCGTCTCTATAACATTGTAGTGAAAGATGTAACATCTCTTTAATGGTGTAAATTGTATGCCTCGGCCGCAAGCGACCTCGGCTTCTGTCTCTGTAACATTGTAATAAAAGAGGTAATATCTCTTTAATGGAGTAAATTGTATAAAAATTATTTTCACCCACCATATCCAATACGTAGCAAATAATTAATGCATCAAAAAATAATTTCTACTTTTGAAACATTTTATATATAAAAAAAATTTAATTACCTTAAACCAGGAAGAATAAAATTATTAACTTTTTGAATATTTAAACTATTACAAAAGAGTATTTTCGAAAACGCTTCAATTAAAGGAGCCGCCATATCGACTTTTCTAGTTTGATTGGTCATTTGGTAAGTATACATCGCTAAATTATGCAATTTAGGAAAAATAACTACAAAAGAAAATACATTAATTATAAATAAATAATAAATTAAATCAATATTTACCATCATCTTTAAAAGATTCTTTACATTTTAAGACAATATTCCCCATTGTTACAATAATTTGCCTTAAAAGTGTATGATTCTCAATTAAAGTAACGTCATTTATGTACGTTTCTAGTTGCATATAAGCTTTATCATGAACTTCTTTGCTATTACAATCGGTTATTAGATGACCTAAAGCTGGAATTGTCGCTGTTCTAACCAAACTAAAATAAATTTTAAATTAATAAATTAATAGTGATTTAATATTAAAAAGAAATTTTACACATCAGTATCATTTGCTAAAGTAACTATAGCTGGTGTAACTTTTCCAATTAATAAATTTTCCCCACAATTTTTTACAATCGATGAAAACAAACCAGCGGAAGCCACTCGAATTAATTGTCTTTGATGAACGACTCCATCCCATAATATCGTAACAACAATTTCTTGATACCCTTTTAAACACAACTCTCGCGCCGTTATTTCTAAACAATCCAACGGAGTTCCACACAATGGCAAAGTAAATAAAAATTGTTTAAACACTTTCTCAATAGCCATTTTATCACAATAAGTTAATATTGAAACCAAATAAACGGGGATAACGTTTAAACTTGGCGAATATTGGTTGTAACTAGATAAAACTTGTTCGAGATTTTCAATTTGAAAGCGAAAAATCGGAGCGATTTTATATAAAGTACAATTTTCGCCGAACGTTATACAAAGATTTGTGAAAAAATCAATGAATGGTTGAATTTGTTGGGTTAATTCTATGTGGGTTAGGCTGTTTAGAATATCGGGGATTGCGTTATCGATTAACCAATCGAGTTCGGGCCATGAAATTTTCGGGGTTTCTTTTATTGCCGAATCAAATTCGTAGATTATCATTCCGATGTTGATTGAGGATTTTGTGAAATTGTTCGGGGTTGTTAATGATGTACATATGTTTAAAAAGTCTGGTCCTAAAAATAAAAAATTAAATTAATTATAATATTATACTTATATAATACTATACTTTGT